TCATAAAGCAGTAGCGTCATTTGAAGTATCTGTCGACGATTATAGATTGGAGGAAAAGACTACTGAATAATCCATTGATGTAAAGCTCTTAGGTCTTTATTTTTCCAATACTTGTTGGATATAATGGAGCACACACGTAAAGTTTAATATAGAAGGAGCGCGGATATTAGGTTGGCCTCCATAATTATCTCTTTAACTTTTCTTATAATGCATCTTTAAAAGTCAAACTTTTGCATAATAGAGACACAGAAGCAGCAGACTTTTGCCGCTCGATTAACTTGTTCATTTTCGAATTCAATTTCCCCTTAGACCAAGTAATCAAAACGTTTTATTCTAATCATCACATGTTATGATGGCATTCTTCAATTTGTTAATGGAGATCCAGCTCGCAGTTGATAGATTAGGGATAGTAACAGTTTTGAATTGGTTTTCATGGGCAACGTTCATACCTTGAAGCATACCACTAGCTTCGGTTGTGAAAGTTAAAACATTTTCGTGAAACACTTTCGTTAAGTATAACTTGTCCTGAGGCATCCACGGATGGCACAGATGGCAGGTGGATGATTGTCAAATTTTTACCTGTGCCAACCGTCAAGTACTTCGATTTTCTCTTTGATAGATTGCTGAAGACATAATTTGGAGTGTTCGCTTTCTTTGGACAAAGAGAACGAAATGCTACAAGAGTAGCCTTTCAGAAACCACGGAAAAAGTTTTATTAATGTTGTGTTCTTTAGTGAATTGTTTGATCATAATTTGGGTCAATATAATCGTACTTCTAATTGTAATGGTAGACTGCTTGATCTCTGCTTTGCCAATTTTCCCGAGATTAACGTAAATCGTTGTCCACCTTTTAGTTTACCTGAGGATCCTTATCATTCATCAATATGCATTTCCTTTCATCATATGAATGATGGTTTGTTGAAATGCCTTAATGTGCCAAATCAAACTTTTTTAAATAATTATTATGATTTTCATAAAATCAATATTGTATTGCTAAAACATCGTCTTTCACATTTGACGCTTGATTTCTCAACTGGTAGTATTGAAAGCTTATTGTCATCGTTCTACAATACATTAAATCTAGCTATTGCTGCATCTGTTCCGATCAAGCAGTGTCGACCTCGAAGCAGGTGTCCCCCGTGGTTTAATAAGACAATTAAATATCACAAGAATAGAAAAAACTCGCTATTCAAAAAATATTCGAAAAGTGACTCTGCGCTCGATTATGTCGCTTACTCGGTGGCGGGGCATAGATTTAACTCCCTCAACCATCATTACTACTGCAGATACCTTCAGTTCATTAAATCGTGTCTGTTTGCTAATCCTAAATTCTTCTTTAAATTTGTTAACGCTAAAAGAAAATATCCAAATATCCCTCTCATGTATCTTTTAATGGCTCTGATTCCTCGGATGATTTTGAAATCTCAAATCTATTTGCTGAGTATTTCCGACGAAACTTTTCGATTGCTAATTTCGATTTATCAGCAAACTACCCATATCCTATAACTAACTCGGTTTCAATACCTAACTTGGTTATTTCGGAAGATGACGGTTTTAAAGGGGTGAGTTCTCTTAAATACAGTTGTTCGATTGGACCTGATGGAATTCCATCATGTGTACTTAAATCTTGCGCTGTCGAGTTATGTGGTGTGATCTCAAAGATTTTTAACATGTCCTAGTATTTAGGTGTTTTCCCTTCATCTTGGAAGAGTAGTTTCCTTATTCCTATCCACAAAAGTGGAAGTATACAATTTGTTGAGAACTACAGAGGCATAGCCAAGTTGAGTGTCTTGCGCAAGTTGTTCGAGCGTATTGTGACTCAGCATTTGACCTTTGCCATTAATCCGTATATTTCTCCGCACCAGCACGGCTTTCGGAAAGGGCGATCTACAGTCACCAACTTGTTAGAGTTTACCTGTCATATTTTCAAAGCTTTTTCTAGTGGCTCTCGCGCAGATGTTATTTACACTGATTTAAGCAAAGCATTTGATATGGTTAACCATAGACTACTTATCTTTAAACTCCAAGCCTCTGGTTTCCCACCCTACTTAGTGAAATGGATAAGCTCTTACCTGCACAATAGATCCTTCAGAGTTTTGTTTAACTTCATCACCTCGGATGAATTCCCCGTTACGTCTGGCATACCTCAAGGAAGTCACTTAGGTCCCATTTTATTTAGTTTACACATTAACGATCTCCCATCGGTGGTTAATTCCAGCCAGATCTTAATATATGCTGATGATGTGAAACTGTTTTCTTCCTTCTCTGTTGAATCGCAATCACATCAGCTTCAAGGCGATTTGGATAATTTTGTTGCATGGTGGTCTTTGAATCTCCTGAAACTAAATCTGAGTAAATGTAAGAAGCTTTCATTCTCAAGAAGAAATTCATTCATTACTCAGTATTTTATTGATGCGCATAAGTTGGAGGACGTCGATTCGATTACAGATTTAGGCGTTCTATTTGACCATAGGTTACGTTTTAACTTGCATATTGAGCTCTCGATTAGTAAAGCTAGGTCCGCGCTTGGTTTATAAAAAGGTGGTCCAAAGAGCTTGATGATCCCTACATTACGAAAAAGCTGTACATGTGTTTGGTTAGACCCATACTCGAGTATGCCTCTGTTGTGTGGTCTCCTTCATATAGGTACTATATAGATTCAATTGAATCTGTTCAAAAGCAATTCTTGCTGTTTTTCCTTAGAAATTTGGGTTGGGATCCGATTGCCTCTCTTCCTCCATATGAAAATAGGTTGCTTCTGCTGTCCCTATCGTCTCTTGAGAAACGTAGGTTTGTTCTTGGCGTTTCCTTTCTAATTAAAGTAATAAATGGTACCATTGACTCGCCTTCATTACTTGGTGAAATAAGTTTTAATAAGTAGAATTAAAATAAATAAATAAAATAAATAATATTACCAGTGACCATCTGACTTGCCAGCGAAAAATGTTCGTGGAGGCCAATATTGCAGGAAATTTTTATTCACAATATTCAACAAGTTTATTAGCGGGACTAACTGACTTGCTTGCGATAAAGGAGCTGCAAGAGGTGTAAAGTTTCAATACAAAATCGTTTCTTCTTTCGTCATCACCGAAGCAAGGCTAGAATTCTCTTTGCTTCCTTGCAAACGTCAGAAACGTGTAATATATTCTTGATAAGTTTGAGACTCCAAGTGGTTGGGCTAATCCTTTGCTTATAAAATATAATAAAAATTTCCAGATTCTTATGTACCGACATATACGCCGCAGATCAAATTGAGATAATGAGTACAGTGCGCTTCTATTAGCCAAAAAGCTATGACATCTAACACATAGCCTGTGTACTAAACGCGCTCCACAGAGGAGGAAAGGAGTGGTAGTTGGCCGGCGCAAGTTGCGGAATATTAACGATGAAGCCACCAAAAATTCCTAGTTAACTTAAGTCGACCCATTAAAGATTTGCGCTGTGCGGCATCGTCGCAATACAAAGCGATGCCAGTTTTATTGATCGATTATAAGGCGTTTATGACTACTCTGGGGATGTCACCTCTGAGTGTGCAAATATGGTGATGCGAGAAAGAAATAAGGGAAGAGGAATACGGTGACACTGCAGCATTGGCGATATGTGCCCCTTATCGATGAGATTTATCCTCTTACCGTTCAAGCTGCGGCCGCACATATGTCGTCTGCCGCATTGGAGATTCAATACGCAACTTCATTGTTACCCTTCGTATCTATCTAAGCCATGCGCAATTGCCGATTTCCAAAGTTAAATTATAATCTTTATAGTTCCATGTGACTCATTATCAATCAAAAGTTTTGCGAGTCTGCACTGTGACGGTCAAGATGTCAGGAAGGAGAAAGTTGGCCGCAGAGCAGTAACTGTGTGTCGAATCGATAATCTTTACCGGGGGAAAAGCACCACCTCCTGATCGCAAATGTTTCTTTGTTGCTTCGCCTTAACCCATGTGTGTGTAAGTGATGCCGCTTGTTTCGTTTCGCTTTACTAAAGTTGTGTTGTTTTTTATGTGACTTATTGGAGGAAAAGCCAGGAAAGTTTCCCTGGTTCCCAAGTTTGTTTTTACCTTCACCTTACCCTCAATTTCTACAGTTAGTACATATGAATAATTAATCCCGTTCGTTAGAGTTATTAAGGTTGTATATTTGTAAAGGTATCGCTTGATAGAAGCGCTGCGAACTTTTTCTTTGACAGATTTTTGTTATTATCATCTTTTACCTCTCACAAACGTTCATGTAAACTTAACCCCGTAAATGGATTTAAAAAAAAGCTTTAAATTTAATGTTAATTTTATACGAAAATGTACATTTTAGAGTATATTGAACTCCGATCTAAATATATTATCTATAATGGATTATGTTAATACTATAACTAGATTTATAACAGGGAAGCTTGAAATGATGTTCAATGATTACTCACTGCACCCATTGTAAACTTTTACAAATAAAATAATATATTTGTAAAGCTTATCTGGATCAAAAGCGAAGATATCTAATTGTCAACCATAAAATCAAAGCGTGTAGAGACTCATTTAAAAAATGATTATCAGCCTCCGCATATAGTCTTCAACTAATGTTTAATGTTTAAGCTTGTTAGATATAATTTTACATAAAAATTCCAATAATAAAAAAAAAGGAGAATCAATAGTTAACGCTCGCCCATCGGTCGATTCGGCAAATAGAATAGAATAGAACGTCTTTTAACGTCAATCGGAGATAGCAACAACACTTAAAAATCATTGTCTTACCATGTGCTTTTTAATGGTAGCTATTTACTAATTGACTTAATAACATGTTTATGTTGACCGTGTGGAAAAAAAATTTTTTTTATATATAAAACAAAGAAAAAAAAAAACAAAAAAAAACGCAATTAACCTCTTCGTAAGAAATCATCTCTTTGTTTTTAATGAATAACTCTAACAAAATGAATGAAAATATTACGGATAATAAAATCACTAAAAATAAAGGTAGTCTTATATAGAAATAAAAAAAAAACAAAAACAACAAAACAAAGAAAAGAAAGATCAAATATATTGTTAATCTTTTCGAAAAATTTCATCTTCAAAATTAAAACTACTTATACATACATACATACATACTTTCAAATCTCTCCTTCGCATATATAGGTTTCTATTAATAGCATTTGAAAAAATCCTTCTCACAATTTATACATAGGAAATTAAAATCAATTCCAACAATAACATAAAAGGAGAATCAATAGTCAACGCTCCATGATAATTGGCTGAAGGGCTTTTCTTTATTATACCTAAAACTATTGCTTTTATTCTGTTTGTTATAGTTTCTTAAATTATATCGTATTATCCACGTTAATCAAAACAGCGCAATGGTCTAATCTTCTCCTTACTTATGTGCACAAAAATTGAGAAATGTTATAAACAAAAATTTCACTATAGTAAATGTAATCAAATCCGTAATAGCTCTGTTTCCTTTCTTCAGCGCGCTATTACCATTGGCTTTGTTTCATACTTATAATCCACATAACATTTTGATCTTAATCGGCTAATTGATAAGTGAAGTCACTCTTCAATCGTCTCCAAAATCCATCTGTTGTATTCTTGAATTTTGGTATAAAGTTTTACCTTATTGTCCGATAGCGGATAAAACGAGAGAATACCAGTCAACGTATAATAAGGGCGTATCCTAAAAGAAATTAAGCAAACATGTAATTAATGCTTGTTTGTATCACACTACAGCTTGTTGCGTGTTGCTTTAATCTGCATCAGAACTTCATTAATTTTACCTACTTTCCAATTTATTACCACAAGAGCGAAGCGAGCAATACGATTGGCAATAACTGTTTGATTTTTAATACTAATAAATTATTTACAACGTAAATGATATTTTCAGATCTGTAAAAAAGAGGTTCATTTTTGCGAAAAAGGGTAGTCGGTACGCCTAACTGAGCCATTCATATTCTGTGTTTTATTTTACAGCAAGATTTTTTCGTTAATTACTTTATAATTTCAGAACAGTTTTCAATTTCGCTCGGATGATTTAGAATTGTTGCATTGCTATTTCCACTTGTAACGCTATGCACTGTTTTTTTTCTTCGAAAATTTCTTTAGAGAGCATTTGTTTTTTATGTTCCAGAAGAGTGTTCTCCTTTATATATTGCTCGACGATGCGTTCATAGTCCTCTATGGCCAACTCTTCGCTGGAATTATTATCTAATTTAAGTTTAAGATTTTTAGCAGTTGCTTGCTGTAGCATTTGTTTTAAACGCAATATTTCAGCGCGTTCAGCACTAATGCGGGCTTGTAGCTGGCCCTTCCATGTTAAAAATTCTTGATTTTCTAATTGCAAACGAATTAATTTAGGGTAATCGGGATGGGCTTTCGACACCAGCAAAAAACCGGAATCTTGATCTACGTAGAAATCGTCCGCTGAGTCATTAATACTGTTATTATTTAGAGGTGAATTACAGGAAATTAGCGGATCAATCGATTCCCGGATTGAATCTTCATCTTCGTCTAATTGCTGGACAACATTAACTACATCATTTGTTTCTGAAGAAGAAACGTTAGCAGTGGATATAGTTTTATTGGATTCGTCGTCTGAACCAATTTGTATAGCTGTCATTAAAAATTTTGTTGTGCCATTACCTAAACTATTTGTACTAATTTCTAGCTCTTCCACGGATTTCTCCTGTTTCTTTTCAAAGCTACGTAATTTTCGCTTTAATTGTGTTATGATTCGTTGAACTTCCCACAACTGTTCTTCGCGTTTCTTCGAGACGAAACCAGCATTCATTTCGGAGTGAATTTGATTTAATAAGCTTTCTTGCTTACGTAGTTCAATTTGTATCTCCTTGGGGGTATCCGGCAGCATAGGACTGGAAGCAGTTAACGGTGGTATATATCTGGCAAATGGAAATAAAAAAGCAAGCAAACAATTGGCTAAGAAGTAGGAAATAAATAATTTAACCTTACTTAAATAGAAATTTCACTACGTTGGCAAATCGTTTCCTTTTCTGAGGATGAGCCATTTTAGATTACAATTAATTCACATTCTTAACTACCCGGGTAGCACATGTTATGCAAAATTCTTATCATATGTTATCTAATCTAAGTTGTTATATTAATGATTACAACTTACTTTATTAATTTCACGTCGGCAAACATTGTAGAGCAATGACACAAGAGCCCTACCAGTAAACGGTGAGACATTTGCAGAGGTGGGCTTAACAACATAGCTAGGGACTGAGCATTCATTTTATTCCATTTTTCATGTTGAATCACTGCATCGAAATGAAGCAAAATCCATGACAGTAAAGTTTTGTTACAACTCGGTAAAAGCTCCAATAACTGCTCAAGTTCTTCTTGCTGCCGCGAGACCTGCGGGTAAGAACCCACTTCTTCAAAATATGCGATTAAATCGGTGGTCAAAATTGGCTCGGGAAGTTCTCTAAAGTAAAAAACCTAGTTTCACGAGCTCTGAAATCATTAACAGAAAAGTTTACCTTAAAAATAACTTCATTAGACCACAAGCCATCGGTAAATCAAGTTCATCAGTTTCTGGTTGCCGCTCTCGGTTGTTGTACAAACGTTTGTAATGTAAAAGTCGAGTTTTCATTGGTTCAATCCTGTAAATTTGCTCACTCTTTAGAGCGTGTTCTTGCAAATAGTCGATGCAATCCCTAATCACTAATGGTATGTCTACACCATCATGACAACGGCTACGTTCGGTAGCCAAACTGACCGACACCCCAAATACAGGCGACCCCAATTCTAAAGCTTCTTCAGACGTTATACTAGACTGTTTGGTTTTCTCTTTTTTTTCTTTACGATCTTTATCCTTATCTTTATCCTTAGATTTTTCTTTTTTATCCTTTTCCTTGCGTTCTTTTTTCTTGTGATCTTTATCCTTATCACGGTCCTTTTCAGTATTTTTTTCTTTATCTGATTTTTCTTTAGACTTCTCCTCATCTTTTCCATCCTTCTCGCACTTTTCTTTATCTCGAGACTTCTCGCGTTTTTCTTTACTTTTTGACGAGGTGAACTTAAAAGCCTTCGATTTCTTCGCTTTAGAAGGGCTTCTGAAATTGAAATGGAACAAATGCTATAAGTTTGATATAAATAAAACACTTTTTGGCTACTTGCTTAGCATCTAGTTCCTCTTCAGGAGAGCTTTCTCCTTCCAGTGCTGCATAGCCTCTATCTTTACTTTTCTCTTTTTTATCCTTTCGCCGCCCAATGAGCAAGTCTTTCTTACTTAACTTATCATGATCACCTTCGCTATCTGAAATTGTCTTCGCTTTACCATCTGCGCCTTCAGAAGCGTACAAACCGGGGAAATCTTTTTCAACATCCGGACTGTCAAAATCCATAGTGTATGTATCCTTTTTTTAATACTCTGATTATTTTCCTAGCATATTAAATACAAATAAAGCAATTTTGTATAGTTTTGCTTCCTCTTCTTGAATGTTCAGCAAATTAATAACAGATGTATCGCTGCGTTGTAATACAAAAGTCTCAAGGTATACACAAGTGCTTTAATTGAACGTTAACAAAGTCCATGGTTAATTTAGATTATGGATTGGTAGTTGATCCTTTTACTTGTTTGTTGACGTCAGACGCTATTGTTGCTTACAGCGTTTTTTAAGACCGTCACTATTTTTTTCTCTTTTTTTCTATATTTTGTAATTAGTTAATATGTATGCATAAATACGTTTTTTTTACCTATTGTTCAATTATTGTTGCTAATTTTTTTTTTTTTTTTTAATTTGAATTATTATTACGGTTTTTTCAACATAAGCTATGTGTGTGGTCAAGTCTATGGATATATATGAATTTGATGGTGGGTAATAACTAAGTGACCTGAGAGTAATATTATCAGCGAGGATAACAAAAGCAAAAATCCAGAAAATAATTAAAAGATGAACTCAGCAAATAATTTGATTTCATTATCTTTTCTTAGACTTCTTCTACTGTGCATGGAGGAGTTTTCCACGATTTTTGACAATGTCTTCTTTTTTGTGTTCTGACATAAAGAGCACACCAGATGTAATACTAAAAACAATGGAGAACTTCTAAACGGCAAGTCTAAAAACTTGGTAAACCTATTGACAAGAAAGGAAATTAGCAGTTTTCTTTTTTACGGTGGAAATACCTTTATGAATTTATTTGTCATCGTAAACCATGCAGCTCCTGTGACTAATTGCAATGTTTTCGATTGGTAGCGTCGAGGAATTTTAATGTTGAAGTTGCTCGCAGCACCCCAAAGTTATACGTCGTATGTCCAAATGTGTTTCAGAATCGCTTTGTACAACAGCTATTTATTTTCCAAAGTCAACCTTGATTTTTAGTCAATCAAGTGTGTTTTGCTTTTATATTTAAATGGTTTTTTTTTTGTCTTTAACTGATTTTTTCCGTCAGGTTTCTCTTTAGCTTCATGCCTAGGTATTTCAATTAAGGAAGGGATACGGGAGAGAAAGTATCATTTTTTAAAGTACTAAACATTCACGCATATGCTCCATTTGTAAGGCCATGTAAAGATCTTTTTAAGATTTTTGAACAAGAGTTGAAGTCGAAGCTTCGGTTTTTCAGTCACAAGCGTGGATTGCTTTCTTAACGTTGAAGATATGGAAATAGTGTTTTGCTGCATGCGTTGCCACATAAAGCAGGAAATTTTTCTTTTGTTCACGCCAAACTAGACGTGCGACTACGATTAAACATTGAAGGCGGCGGTGGGCGTGTTGAAGACATGTTAGGAGCACTACTCGTCCCAGCTCATGAGGGAAATTCTTCTTCATTACAAGGATCAATATGCTGCCGTTGTTGGTTGCTAATGTGGTGTATTAGGGTTGATTCAGATTCATGACTAACTGCGCCATTGTTTCTAATAATTCAAAAATTTATAATTTAATTAAATACGTTATGAAAAAGAACTTATTGTTTGTATATACCCTCTTGACTTCATGTTTGCCACATTTTGTTCCATTTGACCTGATCGTCTCCTGACTAGTTTTATTCAATTTTTAGAGACCTGGCGTTCGATTTTCCCATATTTTTGAAAATTTTGTGTTAATTCTTCGCACCGTATTCGTACAAGTGCTTTTATATAATATATAATCTTATATATATAAATGTATAAAAAAAGAGCATTTATCTCCCCTTGAACGTCCCTTGGATGTTTTATTCTATTTTTAGAGATCTAGCGTTCGATTTTCGCATATTTTCGAACTTTTTGTGTTAATTCTTCGCATCATATTCGTACAAGTACTTTTATATAATATATTAGTTTGGAGAAAAAGAAATCCATTATTTTTATATGAACTTCAGGACTTTATTTAACATGCTTCGGATTGTCCGATTTGGGTCAAATATGCACAGTTTTGTTGTATGATTTGTTGCCATTTTAAAGGTAACTTCAAAGTGCCTCTCTCATAGAAGTCCTGGTCTCTATTTGCAAAATACTCTAGTAGTCGATTTTCACAATCCTCCCTAGATTCCAATTTTTTATCATTAAAGAAATTTTGCAATGCAAGAAAAAGATGATAATCGCTTGGTGCCAAGTCCGGACTGCATAACGGATGCATTAAAACTTCCCAACCAAGCTCCCGAGGTTTCTGCCGAGTCACTGTAGATGTGTGTGGCCTAGCGTTGTCCTGATGGAACACGACACCTCTCCTGTTGGCCAATTCTGGCCGTTTCTGCTCAATCGCTATCTTCAAACGGTCCAGTTGTTGACAGTAGAGATCAGAATTTAGCGTTTGGCCATATGGAAGCAACTCATAATAAATAATCCCCTTCCAGCCCCACCAAACGCATAGCAAAACCTTCCTGGCCGTTTGAGGTGCTTCACCGCTCTTTGACCACGATCGTTTTCGCACAGGGTTATCGTATGTGATCCATTTCTCATCTCCAGTCACCATCCGTTTAAGAAATGGGTATATCTCATTCCGTTTGGCCAAGGCTTCGTAGATGGAAATTCGATCCATCATGTTTTTTTCTGTTAATTGGTGTGGCACCCAAACATCGAGCTTCTTTTTGAATCCAGTTTTGTGTAAATGGCTTAAAACTGTTTGATGGTCGATTTTTAGCTCCTGGGCGACGTTACGACTGCTAACATGCCGGTCAACTTCGATAATTTCTCCGATTTTACCGACATTTTCGACGACCGGCCTACCTGTGCGAGATGCATCTTTAACATCAAAAATTCCTGAACGGAATCTACGAAACCAAAATTGCACATAATTGGCTGTTACAGTATCGGAACCATAAACACCATTCACAATTTTAGCCGCCTGGCTTGCATTTTCGCCTTTGTCAAAGAAAAACTGTAAAATGTACCGAATTTTCTCTTTGTTCCATTTTTAACACGCTGTAACTCACAACTGAATGCACCAAACAAAAAACAGCAAAAGAATTTTTTTTACTGCGAAATGTCACCTTTCCAACGAGCATAAATCTGAAATTGTTTGATCGATACTTTACGAGAAATCTATCAGTGCAGCCTTCGACCGAAAAAATAATGGATTTCTTTTTCCCCAAGCTAATATAATCTTATATATATATATAAATTTATAAAAAAAGAGCATTTGTCTCTTATTACTTTATTCTTACTACTCTCTGTTAATCGAATTCAAATAAGTTTCTAATCGGATCGGTCAAGTCTTTAAAAGTGTAATTTATTATAAAAACTGGGCGTTCCTTCACTTAATTTGCCTCAATAACTTACTCATCGCTCCTTGTAACCATACTGTTATCAAATACTCGCTAACAAAAAAAAAATTGTTCACACAAAACGGGACAAATAAATTGTGCTTTAAAAGTTAATATATTATTTATTAAACAAAAGAGCCATACAACATTTCTTTCTTATTAAATTCTAAAAACATTTGAACTTTGACATAAGGACGTGTAATTCGTTTCTCTCGGCTTTCTAACACTTTAATAAACTTCAGAGTTGCTATGATATTATTCTTATAATAAAATATACATTAATTTATATCAAGCATTGCTTTGCTTTCGTTAGATTATTTTGTCTGCCCAACATTTGTCGTTTGCAATGTTTAGTTGCGACGAGTCTGCGCATAACGGTATTGATTTTTTTCCTTCTAATGTTCGCATGCCTTTATGCTAGTTTGAGGAGCTGTATTAGTTTGTTGTTTACTAACAAACGCCAATTCAATAATAAATGTTGCAACGACAGATCGCCAGAATTAACAGTATTATCAAACTTACTTTTCTTCGTTTTCCAAAACTAAGATTTTAGATGCAGGTCAACTCAAAGCTTTTGATACCCGCAGCGCACGTTTTTATCACAATGAACGCGGACGAAAAATTTTAACAAGCATAAGTTAACAAAGTTTTGTATATACAATATTAAAATGTTTAACAAAACATTTATGTTTCGGAAAAGTCTAGAGAGCCGCGAAGATAACGCATGGAGAAATAGATTTGAAATTAAATTCGCTGCTCTCGGGATTTGAACAATCCGAAACAAGTAAGCACACGGAATGTAACACGCAATCTTTTATACATAATGAACTTATTGTGTTGAAGATCTATGTTTCAATAGGAATTTTTAGTCCCTTTCAAAAACAGGGAAAAAATTCTATATTATTTAAAACTCAATAGTAGACTTTTCTTTGATTTAGATTCTAAAAAGAAAATTAAAAAGATTAAGCGGAAATGATTTAAAAGTTCTCCCGTCTGATTATTATAACTTCTCTCGTGATTAGAAAGTATACGTACGTGTCTGGTGTTGATGGTCTGATGGTTGTTTTGATGTGTTGCTAAACTTTCTACCGCATTAGTAATTTACTTTTATAGTATACATTTGAAGCGCCTCTTATGCGTAGGCTATAGCGGTGTGTTTGTTTTGTTCCCTCATTTTAATGAATTCACTGTTACGGGTGTGTTTAGGATTTAAGGCGCTGACTTGCAAATTTGTTTTTTCAATTTCAGTCCAACAAAGTTTCTAAAAAAAAAAAATGATACTTAAACTATCTTAAAAGTTTGAGGCAATCAGGATGGTATTATTGGAAAATGTAATTGCGAATTTAATTCAACCGCATAACTCTCGTGGAATATAAAGTAAATGCAAAGCGCAGACTGAAAAAATTGCATATAATAAAGTGCATTTAAGACGCCAAATTTGGTGTGAATCCCAGGAAGGAAGCAACGCTTGTAAAAATCTGTGTCGGGAAGCGAGACAGTAAATGTTCTGACCTGGGGTGATTGTTCGGGAGGTTTCAGTTTCAAAGAAGATCGTCGATTTGGACGGTAATGACATTTCGGGCTCCATGTTGGAGAGTGACTAACATCTTAGCTCGCAAATGGAGTAAGTCTACGATGACTGCCCTGAGGAAAAACTCTCAATTTCTTAACATCCCCACACTTCTCTTCTTTTTTCTTTTCACCCCTTTTATAAACAGTGATGAGAAAACTATTTATCCAACACGCTGAAAAGTTGAACATAGTATTTTTAGACAGAGAAATCAAAATTTTATTCAAAGCCCCACAATATTAGTTACGACCCCTCTTGAAAACAAGCATCTATTCAGACTCTCTCATTCAATAACTTTCAACGTGCGATTATCAACATGTTCTACCGACGCCGAAAATGTTTGATGTGAAGCTATTTTAAAGTCATTCTGTTCGTACCAAGTTCAGGTTAGGAATATGAATTAATCTTAGCCATCTGTTATTCTTTGGATTCTCTCAATCAATAACGAGGTTCGGTTCAATGACACAGTTGTTTTCCATATTGTGTGCAAGTTACACCATTTTATTCGAGGCTTCCAATTGATGAGCCATGTGAATGAGAAAGTAAGTTTTAGAGATAAGGTCGTAGTTATTGCCAGCATTCATAAAGCCGCAATATTCGCTTTGACTTTTTTAAATGCGTAGACATTATTAAATGAAGAAATCGACATGGGCGCATGTGCTCAAATAATTTACAAACGATGCGTGGGCTAGGACGGTAGAGAGGAAGAAGTTGCTTCTACATACTCTATCGGAGCTATATCAAGCACTTATAATAAGACAACGCAAAACGCAGCCGCCAATAGCTAAGAATCACCACATCAATCACGCTTTTGAATTTTCTACACGAATTTTCGATTTCGAAGCATTATACGCTGGCTCTAACGCATATAAAACAACCTTTGTTTATTTATAAATTGCTAACAAAAATAAGTATGAATATTTTTTGATTGATCGAAAATGGTTTAAAAAAATATTGCAGCCAGCTAATAGCACTTGCTTATTTCTCTTTTCTGGTCTCGTTTAACACTAGAAGTACCAACTTTTTGCATACACCTATTTTTACCAAAAGAGACCACTTTGATACGCTATATTTGTCGACATGACACAGTAGCAAAAAGTGAAGGTATTAAGAGTGAAATTTGGCATAAACATGACTTGATCGATTAAGAATCCAATGCTATAAAATTGGTTGCGACCTGCCCACATATACACCCACCATAAATGAGAATCAAAAACCACCTTCATAAAAGCAATTTATTGATATTTTCATCTATAAGTTTGGAACCTGTTAAGATATTTCCGAAAATCTGCTACCTAAATGTTTGTCAAATCGACCTACAGGTTTGATCCAAATATGATCCACACCGTTTACAAATACGCCCACAAATAACAATAACATTTTAAATCCAATGTATTTGCCATTGCTATTGGGACCATTTTCTAACTGAACATAAAATTGATCCTAACGAACATCTGAGAAGTTGCTTATGTTTCTTCCACATGACGTGCGTGCATATAAACACCCCACACCAAATTTTCAATCTTTCACTCTTAAAAGATCAAGCCCGCAAAATTTCGTTTTCGTATCTTCTTTTTTACGACTGTGCCAAAACGACAAATATAAGGGATCAAATGGTGCCTTTTGGGGATATATGTTATCGAAATTTCAAAAACTGGCCCAAGTACGGAAAAGTGTTTAAAGCTAGTTTTATTTAAATAAATAACAGGATAAAATTTTGGAACACTACATGATTTTTAGCCATTTTTTTGAAAATCGAGAATTAAGAAGGATCAAAATTATGTATTCGGTAGTCCTAGTGTTAATGTACTCACCTCCGTCTAATGCAGCACCAAATCCAAAGTACATCTCTATATATAGTATTTCAAAACTTTTCACGAATACTTTTTAGTCAAGTTATTCTATTTATTGTTAATTTTTCTTTAGAGTCACTTATTTATTTAGACTATTTAGAGTATGATGGGCGCCAAAAAGCTAAAGGTGTGAAGCTCTTCTTTTGGCGCTATGTAATTTTCCTTATTAAGAGGGAATGAGCGGAAGAGCGACTGTTGCTTCGCAGACTAGTCCACAAATTATTCATACATAAAAAAAAAACAAGTTTGCTTATTCCGTCAACTAATTATTTGTACATAATTTAGAAACTTAGTCGGCATTTATTAAGCATCGAGAACGGGTACGGCAAAATCACTTTAAGAAAGCGGTTGATTTCTATGATCATTTGCCTTGTTTTTACAAAAAGAAAAATTAGTAAAATATTGAGTTTAAGTAAACGCATTGAAAAATTGTATGCAATCATTATCAAGGTCAACGTAAAAACAAAAATCGAAGCATAAATATTTGTATAGATAGAAAGAGCTGTGATTAAATAATAAAAATAAGGATTAGTCTTAAAGTTTCTGAAAATATGGAGCGAATACTGCGTGGAATTATGCGTTACCGTAATACTACACGCGAACAAACGGTAAAAGAATTCCAAAGAGTACGCGATAATCTTGAGGTGAGTAGGGCGCTGACAATGAAAACACTAGAACCAAATTATACTCTTCTCTATGCAAGCATACACTTCTATATGTAGAAATATTTGCAATAGATACCGAATGAAAGCGAGAATGTTTATGCTTTGTTAAAGAGATGCCAGTTGAACTTTTTCGTAAATCCCATGGTAAGACTAACAGGTTTGCATATTGAGCAAAAAAGTTTGCTTTTTCTTAAGACACGTGAAAGGTTCCATTACGTTTATATGATGTGTACAATAATCCAACCAAATTTGTAATTGTAAACATAATATGTACATCTTTGAAATGAATATAAAATATAAAAGGGATAGTATAGAATATAAAAGGAATAGTGACATCAGCAAACGCAAAGCTAACAAATTTTTTGCAGCATTATCATTAGCATTCCCATGTGAATCTGCGGATCTAATCACGATGTACTTGCCATTTCGGCTCTACGCTCAAGCTCAAAAGTCGCTCGGTCAATAACTTAATATATAACTCCTTCGCAAATACTCACAATTGAAGAGCGAGAGAAATCCTGAAATGCCTGCAAATTTGATTGAACTAATTTTCTTAGCAGAGCAAGCAGCAGATAATTTTAATTAGGCTTGCAAAAGTATGCAAGAAAGACTGGAAATGAAACACGTGAAAACTCGAAAATAGGAAAAGATTGTTTTTTAATTGCTGCACTGCTTCATGCAGACATACGAAAATAGTTGTTTTTTCTAACGGCATTCTTATGCTCTGATTGGAAACCAACAATTTACGACCACTCCCGACAAAACCCGGTAAAAATTTTGGCTCAATGCGGATTGCACCAAGTTATTTGAAACTTTAAATGTGGAATAGCGAACCTATAAAAGTTTCAAAAACCATTATTTCAAAAGTCAAAATTTTAAACATGATGTTGATATTTAGATAACAATGTAAAATAAATGGTCTTTTAAAAAAGTTCTACTTGATGGTACCACTGAGATAATTTTGCATATTCCGCCTTATATATCAATGAATTCTTGGTTTGATTATCCCATTTTCAAATATTATAAATTCATTTCGAGACAATTAAACACCTTAGTTATGTACGTATATCTCCAGTTTGAAAAATTCTAGAATAAAGTTTGGGAAAAAATACCAATCTTTTTTTAACGAAATTGTTGTCGACTTTTTTAAACTAACGTAAGTAATAAGCAAGAAATTTGTACCAATATCGTTCTTCAAAGTAAAGTCGCTTGATTTTAAGAGGTACGCATGTCCACATGACTAAAAAGATTTCACTGCTTCCGCTCATCAACACACGCTTACGAAATTTCCTATACTTGTTTGTGCATATTACAAATATTTTCAAGTTTATCCCCCCAGAAGTGAAGTAAGCAAATCAATAATTCGTTGAGCAGGCATCTTTTACTACGCATTTTCTTGCCCTCTAATAAATATATTTTAATATATAAAAGATAAAGTTATGTTCACCTTATACAAACTCAAATGAATCAATTCATCTTATACAAACGCAATCAAAAATCAAGCTAGGATCATACATTAGCAAAAAGTCCACACAATCGCATCCGAATCGAATAAACTCGACGGTAATTTTTGCGTTTGGCATTATGTCCAACGACGTCACATCAACTATTGAAGACACGTGTCGAACAGCGAGTTTTTTTAATAACCCAAAAAACATCTAAAAATTAGATATGTTTAAGTTTTTGACAAAACGGTTTTGAACAGAAACGTGTTCAATAAATTAAAATTTTGTTTAACGTAAGATAAAAGATTCGATATATCTTTAAAAAAAATTTTACGAAAGGTAAAATATTGTCCAAATTCATTTCGCAAATTTCAAAATTATTTTACAAAAACATTCTGTATAAACAATTTTTATGTATTACTACAATAGTATCAATGTCTTTAGAAAATATGTAACAACGTTTTTTCCTTTCCACCAATATTAGTCAAATTATTTCAGATTCATTCATTTGACTATAAATGTTAGATATCAAACATACAAATCGTTCATTAATTATAAATCTGTAATGTATAAGCGCCTATAATTTATTTTTTGACGTCATTTCTCTCATTTCAATTTGCAGCCAAAGGCAGTCTTTTTTACACGTATGGATAGTAGGATGATACCCACTACCTAATAATACACCTTATGCGGTTGAGAAATAAACACCAGCAGCCACAAATAATACGGGGCCAGGGTAATATAACGGGGAAAATTTAAAGTAGATTTCGTGTTCGCTGGAACAACAACGAAATCGATAACCAACAAACTCTAAATCAAACTATGGAATTAAGTTTGAATACAGCTCACGAGCGTGCCAAGGAATTGAAAAAAGCTTTTAGATAAGCGAAATACTCGATATATAAAATCCCGACCTGGTCAATTTTTAAAAGTGTTGTTTTCTTGTCGTAGTGCTTCATCTGCTAGTTTAGTAAAACAATGGGAAAATGTGGGCATTGTTAAGGGTGTACCTCAAAGTAGCAATCTTAGGAACAACGAACTACATGTGCAGCAACATTACAGCAGCCAACAATCGCAGCCATCGCCGTCGCTACATATTCCTTTAGTTCCACGCCATGAAAAATCTCGTCCAAATCCTATTGAATTGCGCTTAAGTGGTGCTGATGGTGACAACAATGATTTTCTTGCAAATGGTGCTTATCAAGAAACGAATAGTATTACCAATAACAACAACAACAACAACATTTATCAACATTTAGGTGCTCATAACAGTAAATCAGTTAATGAAATCAATTTGGCAGAAGTGCGAAATGCGTTAGATCGAGGTATGTTGAGAACAGATTTGCCTTCAAAATGTGACAACCGCGTTAACGCGTTAAACCTTTGCCATGAAGTGAAGAAGAACAAAATTATTCGTCTATTAAAGTGTAAGGTTTTCTGTTAAAACGCATTTACATTTAAATGAGACCGAAAAATTATTTTCTTAAAGACTATTTTGTATACAGACATGTGTTAAGATATGTTTTTTTCTCCTTCTTTTACGAGGTACCATGGCAGTCCCCTTATCAGAAGAGCATAATTTGGGAGGAAGCGCTGAAATAATGTTTCCCCCAACAGCTGCAATTTCCAATGAAAATCTTCTAGATATATTCAATGGCAATTCAAGCCAATTATATAAATTTAATAATTCACCCGACGATTTATATAAACAGGCTACCACAATATCGGCTAATGGCGCGCTGGTTCCACCGCCTTATCGTGATCCTCCACCGCCGCGCAACAGCCCTTTGCAACTTAATCAACAGTCACAAACACAAAATTTAACAGCACATTTAACTAACGTAAACACCAATAGCACCGAAAGTAATTTATCTCCGTCTATGGGCGTTATGACGACTAAGGATGTGCAAACCTCTTCTAGTGAAGGAGATTATGATATAGTAGATTATTCCCGTTTAAGCGATTTAGTTATACCCTCGAACATGGATGAAAGTGAAAGTATTTTCCAGGCCACGCAATATAATGATTTATTACAATTGATAAAATGCCAACGCGAGAAACTCAATGCTCAACAAACGGAATTGAATAAAGTATGGTAATTGAAATTGATGCAACGCTCATTTATCGCTAAATCTTTACTTTTAGTACGACGCCGAAATACTCTATTTGGAAACTAAAGATCACGACCAAACGCAAGAATTGGAGGCTATATCTAGAGAAATTACCTTAGTCGATCAGTTATTCAGACAGGGTAGCGAGCAGGTATTTTAGTATTTGAATAATGATTTTCCGACTTTTTAAACGTCAAATGTATCGAACACTAACGATATTTACTTCACAAGAAGACTATGATATTTTTTAAATTATTTCAATATTAACGTCATTGGTTTTATAGCACTAGACTTTAGGCCAATGATTTGCATTCGTGGTCTATGTAACACTATAATAATAACAACATTTTTGTTCCTTACAATCACATTTTCAGCTTCAAACTCTGCAATACGTTGAAGAGGAAAATGAATTAGTCAAGCAACAAGAAAAGACATTGAAATCGGAAATTGCTCTCTTGCGCTCCAAATTAGCTAATTGTGAAACAGAATTGTTACAGTGCAAAAATAAAATACGCCTTTTAATGGATGACATCGAAATTGAACAACGATCAAATTGCAAACAAAATAAACGGTAATTAAAAGCTAACTAAACTTTTTTTTTCTATTTATATATAATTATCGGTTGGGTTTTTTATTTATTATCGGATATTTTATTTTTTATTCATGTTATTAATGCGTTTTCTTACTTTTTTTTATTTTTCCAATTTTTTACACATTCACAGGCAAATGGTTGAACGCGATTTACTTATGGAAATGGAGCGTATTCAAAGTGAAATCGATCAGGCCATTCATAATACCGATACATCGAATAATACCGCTGAAAATTTGAAAA